ATATATCTACCAAGCGTAATGGTAAAAATCAAATGAGCTACAGGCCTAGAAGGAGTGGCCCTTGCTTTTGCAGCCTGAGTCAGATTCTTCATCAAGTACCGGTCATAACACTGCACCAAACCAGGTTGAATAAGAGATACTTCAAAGTTCAGAAAAAAGTAAAAATCAAATGAGCTACAGGCTTAAGGTCATAACCACACCACAAATGAATGAAGGGCTATTAACTTAACATTTAGAAATAACCGTCAATCCCTAGCTATTATGCATGCCACTAATGAAAGGATGGATCATCATTTATTAAGGTACCTGGAATTCACCAATACTAGGATATTTCCAACCATGCCGTTCAGGATAAGGATACCGTAGCTCTCCACACGGACCTAATCCAACTTCAATTTCTGATATTATTCCTTCCTAAAAAAACTCATCAAATTCAACTCTGAAGCTCCTCATGTAGTCGAAGTAAACCGGCATTGGTTCCATTATAATATAACAGAATAGAAACTCTCAGCATTAAATAGTAAGAATGCATAGGGTCTGATTCTTAGAGCATAGAAAAGGAAAATTCTTCCATTTTCTTCCAAGTCTCACTGATTAAAACTTTCACCCAAAAAAACACTCTATCTCTCTGATCAAACAAAAACTCCAAAACCAATTCAATGGTTGATTCAACAGGTTTATACTATAAAGAAAATAACCATACATTATGGATACCTAGTCTTTTTTTGGAAAAGAATCTTGTTTTATACCAGTTGGAAAACAATGCTTTTGTTTGATTAATACAATCTGGTCTCAGTTAAAATCTAGTATCATATATAGAAAGGGAAAAAAAAGTTGTAGTAATATACCCATAATACGCTGCAACATGCTTGCATTTCCCCGCACCAAGTTCCTAAGGAACACCAACCTGTGGTTAATCATGTCAGCATCTAGAATCACAACCTTGGGCCTGATAAATAAAGCCAACCAGATACTCGAGATCAAAAAAGGTGAAACTACATGCATAGAGAACTATAAGACAAAAGTCAGTTCTTTGCAAAACCAACAATTGCATTTACCAAAAAATGAAATAAAAATAAAACCCAATAACAAAAAAAGAGGAGCATGTGCAATAGCAGTCATGTAAGAGTTCAGTTTGGAATTTTAGATTAACCCATTACATCATTTCTATAAAAAAAATATTCCAATTACGGCATTATCATTGAGCAAAATTAATATGTTGGCAGAAAAACAAATCTTATGAAAATGGTGTGTGGATTTATAGTTAACCAAAGCATTGATTATAAAAACTGTGACATCTAACTGATCAAAAGAATAATCTTTACATTGATAACATACAAATGCAAAGGTGATATCAAGTATTTCAACTGCTTCCTCCCTCCCCCCCCCCCCCCCCCCCCCCAAAAAAAAAACATTTACTTGTAAGTGGTCTTGCAAACTACAGCTTATGTTAAGTCACAAACTTACGATATTTGGATATATGGTAGTGAAACTGTAACATTGTTCTTTGCATCCATCATTAATTCCTTGAAATATATTTTTTAATCCTTGGATCATCTACTTTTATCTCAAGGATTCCCTCAACTGTGTCCCTCAAATTTTATCTTCTCCATTATTTCCAGCCAAAAGAAGAAAAAAAAAAGGAGGCTACACACATTTGATAACAGAAACAGAGATCACTTCCAGAACCTGTTGGGATAAAAATGGCATCACACTGCCAGATAAAACACAAATGCTTGTGGTTACCAATACAATATGTGGAAATATATATACCAGCCCAAGCATCCTTACAGTATATAAGCACATAACTAATAGATACATATAAAGAGTCGTTTGGGATAAAGATATGGGTGTACCTGGAAGAATAGAGACGCAATGAGTCAGAGAGAGCAAAGAGAGATAGTGGAATTTTGGAGGAATACTAGACGACAACGAAGTGCGCAGCCATAGCTGTTGGTGGCGGTGATTCCGCTGTGAAAGACATTTTGAAAATATGTATTCAATAAATCTTAAAGAACTATAATAATTCAGTCATGAACATAAGGATTCATAATTTCAATTTTAAGGATTCATAATTTCAATTTTAAGATAGTATTAACTGTTTACAAAATTAGAAGCAGCTGATGGCATAGCATACCGGCTTCAAGTATGCTAAAGTTAGACATAATCTTCGGTATGTAGAGTTGTTTTCTTTTCTAAATATTTCCTGCAACAGATCACAGCTGGTTTCTACAAATTTTGAAATCCGAAGCTGTTATTATGAATGTCTGTTAAATTTAATCTCATAACAGTAGGACGTATAAGAAACAAAATGAAGGTGCATACATAATCCATGTTTCCCTCTTTATCTACTCTATCAGATAAATGTGAGTGCTAAATGAGTGCATTTAAATTAAAAAGAGTTGACAGAGGCATAATTGGAGAAAGAAAAGGTCTTTATATCAATAAAAAAAAATGCTTCATAGTTGGACATAGAAAATTAAGAAAATGATAGGATGAAACAAAGAAAGGCCCTTAAAATTTTGACAGAGGCATTCTCAGCAAGTTAAAAAGACATAGGCATTCCCAAACAGAAGATACAATATGCAGTAAAAGGAAAATATTACCTGAGGAGGAAAAATAAAAAGCAAAAAGTAAAAAAATTGTAAACCTCGGTAGCAACATAGAATGCATACGAATGAAGCATTTTTTTTTTCAAATGAAAACTTGTAAGAAGATAAAAAACCAAGTGAATACTTGAATCAAGAAAGTCCCCAACATAGCACAGGGGGCATCTTCACTGATAGCACCAATACAGAACTTTAAAGCAGCACAGTCCAACAAATGAAAATCCATATACAGCTGAACAATTATCCGCCTCATGTGGTGAAGAAACATGCTTTCCAGCTGATACTCATACATGCCTACCCTAACTTTTCTCATGACTAGGTTAAAAAGAAAATAGCAATAATGACTAAGAAAAAGGGAGTCAAGTTTTGAAATATTTCTGAAGATGTTATAAGAATGAGCCCAAAATCAAGATTTCAAAGTGCACAAAGTTCATGCAGAAGTGAAATAACCGTCCATTCCTAAGCTGCTTCTTGCTATTAGAAGTACGTAACGGGCAAGCACTCACAGATATACTTACAATGAAGTTATGCAGAAGTAAGTGTTAAATGGACATTTATTTGTTAAAGACGCATATGATGTATATATGAAACACATTTGTGCAATCAAACGTTTTCATAAAAGATTACCTCAACATGAGCTTCAGAGCTTATGTCATTGGCAAACTGAATAAGGGCAAGCTCCAGATCTGATTTTGTAACACGGTATTCAGACAAAACTGGATGCAAAACATCAGCAGAGATAACTAAAACGATAAAAACTCTAAAAAATGTAAACAAAATTTTAAAACTTTAACTCACAGGAAGCTCTGTAACCAGTTGCACTGGCTGCCCAGTTCACAATTGTGAAGTCTGAGGAGAACCCAAAACTTGAATACTGTAATCTTGAGTTTTCTCAGACAGTAGCAGATTTTCCATAGCTGATTTCAGTAACCCCAAATCAATTTAAAAAAAAATAAATAGATTTAAATTCCAAATTGGGCATGAGATTACTTGCCTTGAGAGTAGGGAGGGTTTTACAAAACGCCGCCTTTGGAGACCCAGTCTTTGAGCGGTTGCGGCGCCTGGTGTGGCAGTGCGAGACAGAGAGAGAGTTTGAGAATCAATGATTAATTTTTTGGATGAGAGAAACGGAATGAAACAGAAGACTCGAGAAGAGGCATCTTCAACGATGAACGCTCTACAAACAAAATCCCCAAAATCACAAAAAGGAAATTTGAACACAAAATCCATTTGTAAATCCAAAATAAATAAAAAATGAAATTCAAACAAAACAAAAAGGAAATTAAGAGTGAAAGGGAGAAGAGAGAGATCGAAGTACCGTTAGTGAACAGCGTCGGTTCTCGGAGCACAGTAATCCCTGAAGATCTCTTCCGCCGTTGGCGGACTCGAGCCCATCTCCCTGCTCCTTTCCTTCATCTCACCGAAGCTCTCGAGTTACAGAAATGGAGGTCAGTTTGTGTGGTTTTGGTTTTAGGAAGTAGGAGCCGATGCTATTCCAGAGATGGTGTTGTGGCTGCTAGGGTTTCAGTAGGAGAGAAAGAGGAAGGGTGAGAGATGAGATCCCCACTCCTCCCTCTCCCTCTCTCTCTCACTTTGTCTATCTTCTCTCTATCTAGGCATGGCCTTCCATCCCCGAAACCCTCACCAATACATCTCAAATCCTGACCTAAAACCTAAAAATATTTAGCCCAGAAAATTTAAGTTTTAGCCCAGAAATAGTTTTTCTACTCCAACCCTTTTAGCCTAAAAGTTTAGCCCAGATTATCAAAAAATGAATTAAGGCTAATTTTTTTTAAATTAACTTTTAAAAAAAATTATGTAGACTATCCTAAATTAATTTTATGAACATTTTAACCTAAAAAAATTTAAATTCCGATAAATTTTGAAAAATCACTAAATCAATACATGAAAATCATGATAACCCACATAACTTAAAAAAAAAAATATTCTAGCCGTTGGAAAAAAATATTTAAATTCCAATAAATTTTAAGATTATTCTTGCCATTGGATTTAAATTTGGACCATTAGATCTTTTTTTTACCGTTATATTTGATTATATTCGATTTAAACAATTGGATTCAATAAATATATAAATATAAAACAAAAAAAAATTGAATGTGGATGACACGCCCCGATCCTGATGTCCTAGGGACAAAGGGATGGTCACGTGCTGGCCGACACCCGAAGGGTGACGAAAGCCATTTATTGAGTGCAAATGCTGACAACAAGGGATAGATAAGACTTATAAATATAAGAGAATAAAGAATATGTATTTAAGGAACGTGTTCAGAGCACACATCTAATCTAGAACATTAAAAGAATTAATATAAAAATTGAATGAACACAGAAATGGGTCCTACACCGAGAGGACTCGAAGATACCGATGCGGAAGTGCCTGGATGCCGGGATTGTATGCCTCGATCCTAAATCCTGAAGGGGGCGCAAAACAAACATGAGTGGACCAATTTGATATAAATATAACAAAACAGTTATCAACGTACTAACCCCCAAGTTTTATGAAAACACATATATAATGATAAACATAGGTTTTCCGAAACCTAGCATGATGTGCAGTATCTCAAATCATAACTTGTATATATAATAATCACTAGTGAATTGTCCGATAACCCCCAGGCCCCATGCCGGCTCCCCGTCTCTGAGCAGACAATCAGAGGAAAATACACTTCAGGCCCCATGCCGGCTCCCCGTCCCTGTGCTAAATAGCCAGAGGAAACACACTCCAGGCCCTATGCCAACACCAAACCGTCGCCCAGGACGGACCGGAATCTATCCCTACGTCCCGTATAGCGGAAAGGACCACTAGGTAAGTACAAAACCATTGAACATACATATATTGAAAAACAACTTCATAGTATAAAGTCATCCATCATCTATACTATAAAGAGGTGTTCGAAACATGTTCTAAATATCATATCGTCATCCATCAGATATTCTATAAGAACACGGGTTACAGGAAAAATAGTAATAATTTAAAGTAGCCTCAATAAGCATGTTATCTCACAAAACGTTTCATAAAACGTAATCATCAAATCATGTTTTTCATGTATGCATTTCTACTATAAAACATGCATTTTAGAAGGGGTCCACTCACAGTACTTAGCCGCCGAAGAGCCACGCAAACTAACGAACAAGAAAACGTCAACAATAATTGCCCCTAAGCACATAAAGGGTCCAATTAATAAAACTCTATTTTAACAATTGAATTTGGGAAAACAGACGTCGGAAACGGATTCAGAACGTCGAATTACCCTAAGAAGGGTCCCGAACGAAAACCCGAAAAGTCAACCCTAAAGTCATCGTTGACCGGAGGTCAACGGTCAAATTAAGTCTAACGGTTTTAGGCTTGAAAATCGGATTAGGGTTTAGGTTAAATAGGATTAGGATATATTGGGTTTTGGGTTTTCTAAGGTTTTTGGGTTAAAAGGGTTTAGGGTAAAGAAATAGAGTTTGGGCCTAAGCCCAAACATATACACACCACAAACTCACACACACATGCACGACATGCACATGCATGCAAGGCATGCATATACACACACGCACACACTTAAACACACACACACACACACACACACACACACCTAATACACACACACACACAAACCACAAAGGCCTTAAGGCCTCACAAGGGCAGGGCTTTAAGCCCCTTAAACCAAAACCGGCCCAAGGCCATTTTAAATAAGGCCCGAGCCCTTATTGGGTTTTAAAAGAACAAGAACAAAATTAAAAGAAAAGGGGCTGGGGTCTAATGGGCTTAAGGCCCGAGGGAAGGGAAAGGGAAAGGCCGGATGGGCCTGGTTTTGCCGAGAAGGAGAAGGCCGGAGATTCGGCCGGAAAACCATCACACTTTAAACGGCCATAACTTTAACAATACTCAACGAAATCAAGCGAGATAAAAACGAAAGTTATATCCCTTGAAGAGACGAAGAGAATGGTACCTCACACGACGTCTAACTCGCCGTGGTTTGGCCGGAAAACGCCTCGAAAGCCGTCGGACTCGCCGGAAACTGGTAAGATTCAAAATTCAAATGAGTATAACTTCTTTAATACTCAACTAAATTGAGTGAAACCAAAAGGAAAGTTGTAGTACTCGACAAGACGAAGAGATTGATACCTTGCACGCCGGCCAACCCGCCGTGGTTTGGCCGGAAATGGCCTCGAAAGGCGTCGGTTTGTGTCGGAGCTCGAGTACTGGTTTTTGCTGTCCTCGCAGCAACTGAGAGAGAGAGAAAACGAACTGATGATGATGATGACGACGCCGTTGACGTCGGAGATGGTGGTGTGGTGATGGGTATGTGCTCATGGGAGGACGAGAAAGAGAGAGACGAGGGAGAGAGAGCTCGGGTGAGTGGAGAGAGAACTGAGATAGGGAAGAGGGAGACCGGGAAACACACAATAAATAAAACAAGGTGGGCCCCACGGGCTCACCAATTAAGGCTTTAAAAACAATTTTTAAATATAAAAAGGGTTGGGGTGTTTCAGTGGACCGTTGGATTAACCAACGGTCAAATTACCACCACCACCCGATGAAGAAAAGTAGCCGTTGGCTACAGGACAAGGCCCACTTTCACTTTCATCCATGGGTCCCAACAGCTTTTGTGGGCTAAATTTATGACCTATATTTACCTTCATTTTAAGTTTTAGGTTTTAGGTTTTAGGTTTGGTTTAGGTTTTGGGTTGGAGTGGATTTTGGGGGGGGGAAAAAGGGAAAATTTAGGTTAGAAGCCACAATTGGAGATGGTCTGAATGACAACAAACCTAAACCCACCCCAATCCGTCTCAAACAAACAGGACAAAATTGCCCTTCCAACCCAATCCCAATATCAACCCAAACTTGATGGCTTTGTTGTAAATAACGTGAAATCGAGTGGCGCTAAACCATTGGGACAAAATCACCCTCTGAACTTTTGAGAATTACCCTCCCAACCCGGATGACATTCTTGTAAATAAATCAAAATAAAAAAAAAATTAACAGTGCCTGCCCCCCCCCCCCCTTCTACTTTAGATAATGTGGATGACCACTTATCCCACTAAGTTTTGTCTATCACTAGTTTTACCTATTAATCAAAGGAACAAATGAAGAAAGAAACAAAGAGAGACATACGGAGAAAAGTAAGGAGGAAAGAGAGAAGAAAAAAAAAGGGAGAGGAGAGAAAGAAGAGATACAAAAGAAAGCTAGGCTAGAGAGAAGAGAGAAAATAATAAGAGTTATCATGATACTTCTATTATTTCAGATAATAAAAGAAAGTACTACTACTGTCCTGAGGACATAGACACAATTATCGAATCTCGTAAATATTGTATTTTATTTACTTTATATTTTACTGAATTTCAAAATAGTGCTTACTATTTTCCATAATTTTCTTGATAAAAGGAAAGGGAGTATTTTATTTTATTTTATTTTATATTTTATAATTGGACGTGTAAAGGTTGAACCTTTATGGGTCAATATGGTCAGCGAGTCTTCAAAGAACTTCCCCGCGTCCCCTGTAAGCTAAACTTTGATTATGTGAAAAATGAATGCGAATCTCTTTATTTTTTTGTTTTTTCGGGTTAAAAGGGTATACTTTTGTGTGTTACCGTACCATTTACATCACATTTCACAAGCACAACAACTCCATAATTTTTATATAAAAGAAAAGGGAATACTTTTGCTTTTTACTTTTTGCTTTAGTATTATATTTTATTAAAGGTGAATATGGTCACAAAGTCTTCAAAGAACTTCCCCTGTAAGCAAAATTGTGAACAGTGAAAACGAATTTCTCTTGTTTTTCCCGTTAAAAGGGAATACTTTTGTGCGTTACCATATAATTTCCATCTCTTTCTTGTAATGTACATGGCAGTCTTACTTCCTTTTTCTCTTTTTCTGAAACTTATCATTTCATACTTTTCTCTCCATTGAAGTAGGTTTTGGAAGAGAAAGAGTGAGTGAGACAATGTCTACTTCCGACCGTTTCATGGATACTGTGTTTTCTTGGTCACTTGAAGACATTTTCAATGACAATCTGTACAAAAATCAGGTTTTTGCTATCACTTCTACTAATAAATTCTCATTTTTTTAGCTTTATCTTGTTTTTTCTTCAAATTTGGATGAGATTGTTACTGTAGCTTTTGTTTTGTTTTGTATTTTCAGGACTGCTTAGATATTAAGACTCCAAAAATAAAATTTTTAGTAGATGTATTCAATTGAGATTCTGAAGGTTGATGGAGTTTTAAGACCCTAAAAAGAGTTATAAATTCGTGAAGTTTTGCTAGAGTTTTAATGGAGTTTCACAGACTCTGAACTCATTCAAAATTTTAGAGAAAGAGGTCTGATTTCCTAAAGCCTAAAATACACTATAAATTCTTCTAAATCTATCAAAATTCTTAACTTTTTATAATTCTGTCAAATCAAGCATGGTGCAATCCACACACTCATTTTTACCTATCACACATCCTCTCAATTTCTAGTCGTCGGATAAAATGAATTGAAAAAATTCAATAGACAAAATTTAACAAGGGTATATGAGGAGTAAAAATAGTGTGTGAATAGCACTACTCAAAATCAATTCCTAATTGAATACCCATGAAGTTTTAATGACTGCTTTAAAATCATGATTGAATACATCTAGATTTATATAGAGTTTTCCTTTAAAATTTTGATTAAATACCCTGAACTTCGATGGATTCATTTAAAATCTTGATTGAAAACCCTTGAATTTGTAAACTCTTTAAAAATCTTTTATACTACCTTGATATTTGGTTTTAAATCTTTGAAGCCTGGCTTGCTTTTTCAAGGTAGTAGTTTTTTATTTATTGGCCTTGACTCAGACAGGAAAAGCCATCTCAGTTTTCTAATAAATCCATGTCTATACAAGAATTTGTAGCTTAATTGGTTAAGAGCATTCATCATGCACCTCCCGCATTTGGTTCTCACTTCCCCCAATATCTCTGTGTGTGTGTATATATATATATATATATATATATATATATATATATAATTTCTTCAGCCTTTATTATCATATAAGTTTGGGTTACTTTGTTTCCGGTCTCTAGTCAACCTAATTTTTAGAATTAAACTTTATTTGTTTAAATAATTTGATCAAGGTCCCTAGCATTATTTAATGGCTAAATAGCCAAAATGGTCACTAAGATATGCATAACACATCATTTTGGTCCATGAGATTGAAAATCAATAGAAATGGTCACTGAGATTGTCCACCATCCATCATTTTGGTCATTCTATTAAAAACTTTTTGGGCAATTTTCAAAGCCTCATAACTCAATTGTTTTTTAACCAAATTCGACCTATAATATATCAAAATGAAGATAGGAAAGTGTAGAACAAGATTATACCTATTTGAGCCGGAGATAGCCGGAAAATGGCCTCAAAGTTGACTAGTCTGCAGAAAAACTGGAAAACTCGTCGAAAACTGAGTAAATTTTAAATGTTCATAACTTCTTCAATACTCAATGAAATCCAGTGATTCAAAATGAAAATCATACTTCTTGATGAGGGGAAGAGAATGGTATCTTGCTCGATGGCTAAGTCACCGTAGTTTAGCCGGAAAACAGCTCAAAAGTGGCTAACCATTTTCGAGTCAGCCACTTTTGAGCCGTTTTCCTGCCAAATCATGCTGAGTTAGCCATTGAGAAAGGTACCATTCTATTTTTCTCATCGAGAAGTATGATTTTCGTTTTTGAATCACTGGATTTCGTTGAGTATTGAAGAAGTTATGAACGTTTAAAGTTTACCCTGTTTCCGGCGAGTTTTCCAGTTTTTCTACGGACCAGTCAACTTTGAGGCTATTTTTCGGCTATCTCCGGCAACCATAGGGCTTCCAAATAGGTATAATCTTGTTCTACACGTTCCTATCTTCATTTTGATATATTATGGGTCGAATTTAGTTAAGAAACGATTGAGTTACGAAGCTTTGAAAATTACCCAAAGAGTTTTTAATGGAATGACCAAAATGATGGATGGTGGACAATCTCATGGACCATTATTGATTTTCAATCTCAGGGACCAAAATGATGTGTTATGCATATCTCAGGGACCATTTTGGCTATTTAGCCAATATAGATTTAACTTCTACATTTATGCATTCAATATCCCACAAATTATAAAATTAAACAAATTTTAATAATATTTTTACAATTTAACAACTCCTTAAAAATCAATAATAGAGTAATATTATGCTTCACATAGTTCTAGCAAAAAGATAATGCACCCATGTAACTATTGATATATTTTAAGAAATAACTATTAACATATTTAAAACATACAATAAATACATATAATCAACATGGGTACATTCACAAAAAAATATGGGTACAAATAAATAAAAAATATGGGTACATATCAAAATTCAAAATTATGGGTACAAATTAAAACTAAAAAGAATATTGGTACGAATTTTAAAAAAGGTACAAATTATAAAGAGAAACATATGAAAAAAAAATAGATATATTTGGAAATAATTAATAAGTTTTTCATTTTTAAAATTGACAAATGATGACTTGTAAATAATTTTAGTAAAACCATGACATGGAGATTCAAGGCCGGTATAGAGATTTTTTAGGCCCGAGACGATGCCAAAAAATATGCCCTCACTTTATATAAGAAAAAACTCCAGGTTTACTAGTAGATAGATATGAGTTTTGTTTTCCATATGAACTTTTAAAGTGTTTTTGTATAAATCGTGTGGTGTTTTTTCTTATTTACTAACCTTGTCAATATGGGATTAAAAAATATTGATGTTTTTGAGTCTTTAATTGATATGTATAAGTAATAAATTAGTACTAAATTAATTTTTTTGAGGACATGTCATATGTTTGCAAATTTGGTCTAAGAATTTGGTCAACACATTACTCTTTGTTGAAGATTAGACTGGAATTGGAACAAATGTTTAAAAATAACAATCCACATAGCTACTAGCTACTAATTAAAAATAAATTAACAACCAAACAAAAATTCGTAAAAATTAAAAAGAATAAACATGCACTTAGCATTTCGAATTTAGGACCTCTCGTTAATTTTAAACAACAAAAACCATTGATTCTAATTAAACTTCTTGATTGTTTAGCCAAATTTTATATATTTATACTCTTATGAAAAGAAATTTGTAAAAATTGAAAGGTAAATAAGCATACATGGTGTTTTGAACCCAAAACCTCCTCATTAATTTCAAATAACAAAACCAGCAGTTCAAATTAAATTTCTTTGTCATTAAACCGCATTTTATAAATTTATACTCTTATGAAAACATATATAAATATACCACCCTAATAATTTTGGTGCCCCCAATTATTTTAGGCCCTGCATGGTCGCCCTGCTAGCACTGGACCTTGGATTAGTCAAGGGACCTTGATCAAAAATGAAAAAGAAATAAAGTTTTAATTAATGAGAATGAAAAATAAGGGATGAGAATCTAATTTATCCTATAAATTTACTTGTAATGTGCAGTCTTAAGCTAGTTATGCTCAACCATTAGAGTTGGTTAAGTAAAGATTTATGCTGTGGCTAGAGAACTCGCTTTCAACGTCTGTGAATGCAATATATTTGAGCTTCTATAATTTCTTCATGCAATGTCATCATCTATAGATTTATCAACTAACTTGTCTGAACTTTTACTTTTCTAGGTGAAGAAGATTCCTGAATCATTCGATTCAGCTCTGCATTATTTTGGGTCCTATTCATTTCCTTTATTAGAGGAAACTCGTGCAAAGGTGCAGTCGAGTATGGAAACCATTGACAGAGCACCATTTGCTGAAGTGGTTGCTTTTAATGAATCCAAGTCCAAGTTTGATGAAACATGGATATATAATATCAAGGTTGATGAGTGGCGAAACAGGTTCAGCGAACGTGGAAAGGAACCATACAAAACTTTGCCTGGGGATCTTTTTGTCTTAGCAGATGCGAAACCCGAAACTGTTTCTGATTTACAAAGGGTAGGGAGGTCATGGACTTTTGTATCGGTCACTAACATCACGGAAAATAAAATCTCAGAAAATAAGAGAGAAGATGAATTTAATGATGAGATAATAGAGACTGAAATAAAAGAGTTTAAAGTCAAGGCATCAAAAAGGTTTCAAGTCAACGATAACAAGAGCACTCCGGCATCAGTATTTGTTGTTTTCCTTGTGAATTTGATCACTAATAGCAGAATATGGGCAGCATTGCACATGTTTGGAAACCTGAAGATTATCAAGGATGTTTTGTGCACTCATTCTGTGGTAAGACCTTAAGTTCTGTGCATTGCATTCACTGAAATGGGACCTATTCATGGTATGTGGACAATACATGATGTAATATGTAATGTACACACTATACAAAATACGCAGCAAATTACCTTTTTTGTTAGTTTACGCTGTGTATGGTACTCTAATAAGTTTGATACAAGCGTGATGATTTTCTTTCATTTTTATCTTTCGATCAAAGTTTCTGTCGTGTGTATATGTGTACTACTCCAATTGTGTACTCTGGATTCTACGGTCTCTTTCTTTCTCCCATTTAACTATTCCATTCCGTTTGATCGAATAATTTCTGTTACTATATTTCAACACCGTCATTTATCATTGGGGTTGATTATATATGTTATGCTTGGTAACAGGCTCAGGAAAACTATCCTCCCTCGTATGAAATGAATGCTGACATTCGGGATAAGCTGTTATTTGAGTGTTCATCTTCTGGATTGAATGAGTCACAAACTGGGGCAGTTTTGGCCTGTCTTGAAATGCTGTTTTGTGATTCCAAGTCGTCTACTTTGCAACTTATATGGGGTCCACCTGGGACAGGGAAAACTAAATCCACCGCTACTCTGCTATTGACCCTGTTAAGGATGAATTGTAGGACTCTTGTTTGTGCCCCAACAAATGTTGCAGTAACTGAAGTAGCTTCTCATCTTGTAGAGATGGTGACTGAAGCAGAGTCCAGTGCTTTGTTTTGTCCTCTGGGAAAAATTCTTTTATTTGGGAATAAAGAGGGACTCAAAGTTGGTTCTGATATTGAAGATATATATTTGGATCACCGTGTTGAAAGTCTTTTCGAATGCCTGGGGCCGGTGACAGGTTGGAGTAGTTGCTCTTCTTCCATGATTGGACTTCTTGAGGATTGTGTTTCACATTACCATATTTTCTTGGAAAATGAGTTAGCCAAAGAGAAAAAACAAAACGGTGATGGTGAACTGGTGAGGAAAGGTTGCGGAAGTGAGACCGAAGTTAGCAAGGGGAAGGGCAAATCGTTTCTTGAATTTTTCAGAGAGAGATTTGTTCCTACTGCATTACCCTTAAAATGTTGTATTGCTACCTTCTGTACCCATATAAGCCAAGATTACATTTCGGCACAAAATTTCCAAGACATGATTTCGCTTTTAGGGTTAGTTGATTCCTTTGGACTACTATTGTTGCAAGGTAATGTTGATTCTGAAGTATTGGAAGAGCTTTTCTCTCGTTCAGAAGTTGAAGATGTGCCAGAGCCAGTAGGCGACACATTTCATCTGTACATGAAGAGACGAAAGTGCCTTTCAGTATTACGTACTCTTCAGAATTCGATTAGAGGACTTGACCTTCCAGATGTCAGGAACGAAAAATCTGTAATGGAGTTCTGTTTGCAAAGAGCTTCCTTAATATTTTGCACTGCATCCAGTTCGTTTAAACTGCATAGAGTGGAAATGGAGCCACTGACTGTTGTTGTTATCGATGAGGCTGCACAATTGAAGGAGTGCGAGTCAACGATACCACTGCAACTTCCAGGTGTGAAGCATGCCGTTCTTGTTGGTGATGAATGTCAGTTACCAGCTATGGTGAAAAGCAATGTATGTTGATGCTTACTTGGTTATATTTATTTAATCATTTGTCTGATTGCAATTTTTCTTTCTGACTTATTCTTTCTTCTTTAGGTGTCCTATGAAGCTGGTTTTGGTAGAAGCTTGTTTGAGAGGCTGAGCTCAATGGGTCACTCTAAACACCTTCTAAACATGCAATACAGAATGCATCCATCAATAAGTTCCTTCCCAAATTCAAGTTTCTACTATAACCAGATCCTGGATGCTCCTAATGTTAAAAGGAGAAGCCATGAGAAACACTTTCTTCCAGGGTCAATGTTCGGTCCTTATTCTTTTATTAATGTAATTGATGGAAGAGAGGAGAAGGACGAGGATGGACATAGTCCAAAGAATATGGTAGAGGTTGCAATTGCTTTGAAAATACTGCAGAATTTGTACAAAAGTATGTCTAGCCAGGGTGCCATGCTCATGTTCCAAATTCAATATTTTCGATTACGTTTCTATTATATGCTTGTAATATTTATTATTATTATTTTTTGTAATGGCTAAATACTTCTTAGTTTGGATAAAACTGATAGTTTTCTTTTTTCTTTCTCTTTGTATACAGAATGGGATGTTTCAAAAGAGAAGCTCAGTATTGGTGTAATTTCTCCTTATGCAGCTCAAGTAGCTGCACTTCAGGATAAACTTGGACAGAAGTACGATAAGCTTGATGGCTTTAAAGTGAAGGTGAACACAGTTGATGGGTTCCAGGGTGGGGAAGAGGACATAATTATCATGTCCACTGTGCGATCCAATCAACATCACTCACTCGGTTTTATATCGAATCCACAAAGAGTTAATGTTGCTCTTACTAGGGCTCGGTATGGTTCTATGTAAACTTGTACGCTTTTGCATCGTTTTTACTTGTTGGTAAGGGTGAAAATAACTATTGGTCGTCTAATGAATTCAGGCACTGCCTTTGGATTTTGGGAAATGAAAGAACTCTTTGTGGTAGCGAATCTGTTTGGGAGGATTTGGTCCTTGATGCCCAGAATCGGCGGTGTTTCTTTAAAGCTGATGAAGACAAGGATATGGCCAAGGCCATATTAGAGGCGAAGAAAGAGTTAGACCAGTTTGATGATTTGCTTAATGCTGACAGCTTACTTTTCAGAAGTTCTAGATGGAAGGTAAAGCTCTGGGCTTTTATTTATGATTGGGTTACTTTCTAGTTTTCCCTTGTCTATTTTCATGAAATCTCTATAGTCGAAATTATGTTTTCTCATATTGGACTTTCTGGTTTCTTAAATATTTTCTATGTTCATTTTTATGTTCCTCTTCCCCCAATCTATTATCTTCAGGTACTTTTCAGTGATAATTTTCTGAAGTCGTTCAGAAAACTTAAGTCAATTCAGTTGAAGAAGTCCGTGCTAAATCTTCTACTGAAGCTTTCCGGTGGATGGAGACCTAAAAAGAAAAATGTCCAGACTAGTTCTGGCTCATCATCAATCTTGAGGCAATATAAAGTTGGAGGTCTATATATTGTTTGCACAATTGACATTGCAAAGGAGTTGAAATACATTCAAGTATTAAAGGTTTGGGACATATTGCCCCTAGAGGACATCCCAAAATTGGTAAATCGTTTGGCTAGTATTTTCAAGAGATATACAGATGATTTTATCAATCGCTGCAATGAGAAATGTCTTGAGGGGTATGTTCTTCTGCATTCTAGTTTTATTTTTATTTTTTGGCTTAACGTGCCTGAATTGTTAATTATGATTGCTTTCTTTATGGAAGGTACGAACTTTTCTAAATCTTTTGAACTTCTGAAGTAATTTTTAATTTTCTTTGTCATTTGTGACCAGTAACTTGGAAGTTCCGAAGTGCTGGCCAACCTCTTTGGATGTGCCTCGGTTTAAAGATCTTAGTGCCGCTGAAACCGATAGTGATTTTGTTGGTGATGCTTCGGATGGTAGAAGTTATGTTGAGAATTCACAGGTCAGCGAGAGTTTGTTGCTCATGAAGTTTTATGCCTTGTCATCCGGTGTAGTGAATCACTTGCTGTCTGACCGTGAGGGTAAAGAGTTGGATCTTCCATTTGAAGTAACTGACCAGGAAATGGAGATTATCCTTTATCATAAAAGTACCTTTATAGTTGGACGGTCAGGAACAGGGAAGACAACAGTTTTAACCATGAAATTATTCCAAAATGAACAATGTCACCATTTGGCAGAGAAAGGATGCGGTAGTAGTTCAAATAGCATGGCTGAGCCGAGTTCTTCGGCTACTCAGGGGAGAACTCTACACCAGCTTTTTGTTACCGTGAGTCCTAAGCTATGTTTTGCCATAAAACAACATGTTCTACACTTGAAAAGGTGCGTGTATTATTCAACAAAAAAAAGTTAATACTTCTTTTTATTTTTTTCTCGTGTTTGTAGATCATTATAAGTCAATCATGTGACCTCATTATTCTTGATTCTTGAAGCATCATCAATTCATTATTCATAGTTTACTCTGTGGATTGCATATACAATGTTCGGAAGAAATTTCTGCTTTGGTTTATTTGGAATCTTGATTTCCTTCTCTCAAACAAAAATTTCTTTCTTGTTCTTGATTCGTTACATGAAATGTTTTGTAAATTTCAAACATCACGTCAGCCACCTTAAGTTACTAACTTTTGTATGTCTACAGATTTGCATGTGGTGGAAGTGATTCCACCGAGAAAGTTTCGATTGATATGGCTGATTTTGATGAGGAGGAATTTCAATTCAAGGATATCAAGGATTCATTTCAGGATATTCCGCCCGATTCTTACCCTCTTGTGATAACATTTCATAAGTTCTTGATGATGCTTGATGGAACACTGACTAACTCATACTTTGAAAGATTCCTCGATCCAACAACACTCACTCACGGTCAATTGAGAAGCTCAAGATCGGTTGCATTGCAGGCCTTCATCAGGACAAAGGAGGTTAATTATGAGAGGTTCAGTTCATCTTACTGGCCCCATTTTAATATGCAGTTAACAAAGCAGCTTGATGCTTCAAGAGTCTTTACGGAGATTATATCTCATATTAAAGGTGGTTTAGGAGCCATAGAAGCAGTTGATGGCCGACTCGGGAGGGAGGATTATGTTCAACTGTCAGAGGGCAGGGTTTCCAATTTAAGCAAGCAAAAGAGAGAAGTAATCTACGACATATTTCAGGCTTACGAAAAAATGAAGCTGGAAAGTCGTGAATTTGATTTGGCTGATTTTGTCATTGATCTTCACCGTCGGATCAGGCACGAAAAATTTGTGGGTGATCAAATGGATTTTGTCTATATTGATGAAGTTCAAGATCTCACCATGAGCCAAATTGCTCTGTTCAAGCATATGTGCAACAATGTCGAAGACGGTTTTGTTTTTTCTGGTGATACGGCACAGACCATTGCCAGGGGAATTGATTTTCGGTTCCAAGATATACGACATCTGTTCTACAAGAAGTTTGTATTGGAATCAAGAGGCAATAAGCATCAGGAAAGAAAAGAAAAGGGGCAAATCTCAGAAATATTTCACTTGACTCAGAACTTCCGTACGCATGCTGGCGTTCTGAAATTATCACAGAGCATTGTCGAACTACTTTATCGTTTTTTCCCTCTATCTATAGATATTTTAAAACCTGAAACCAGTCTGATATATGGGGAAGCTCCGGTACTGCTTGAATCCGGAGAAGATGAAAATGCAATCATCAGAATTTTTGGAAATAGTGGAATTGATAATTCTAACATAGTTGGCTTCGGAGCAGAGCAAGTTATTTTGGTCCGTGATGTTGGTGCTCAGAAAGAAATTTTCAAAATCGTTGGGAAGCAGGCTCTTGTCCTGACCATAGTGGAATGCAAGGGGCTTGAATTCCAGGTGATTGATAGCACTTCTAATCACTCTTTTTTTTTTTTTTTTTCCTTGCGAAATTTTTTGCAGCTACGCTTAACAAAGCAAGGGGCTTTTATTAATTATGATATTTTTAGTGCATTGAATCTTGTATATGTTTTTAAATTTATATTTGCTTTTGATTCGTATCGTTTATGTCTTGTCTGCAGGATGTACTCTTGTACAATTTTTTTGGATCATCGCCACTTAAAAATCAATGGAGGGTGATATATGATTACATGAAGGAGCAAGATTTACTTGACTCAACATTGCCTCAACGATTTCCAAGTTTCAGCGAAGCTAAACACAACATCTTATGCTCTGAACTGAAGCAATTATATGTTGCTGTTACTCGGACGAGACAAAGATTATGGTTTTGCGAGAATGTAGAAGAGCTCTCCAAGCCCATGTTTGACTACTGGAAGAAGAAATGTCTTGTACAGGTTAGACAACTGGACGATTCCCTTGCACAGGCAATGCAAGTTGCTAGTAGTCCTGAGGAGTGGAAATCACGAGGCATTAAGGTTTGCATTCTTTACTCTATAATAGTCAATAGTAACAAAGAATTGTTGTAGTAGACATGTAATATTCCTGAATTTATTTGATTTCTTATTCATCATCCTCATCGTTAGTTCCCACCGCAAAAATAATTTATTTATGATGTAACACCGTTATTTTCAGTAATATTTACGAAATCCTTTATCTTTGTTTTCTTGCAGCTCTATCATGAACATAACTACGAAATGGCCACAATGTGCTTTGAAAGAGCTGGTGATACTTATTGGGAAAGGAGGTCCAAAGCTGCTGGCCTTAAAGCTATCGCTGATCGAATGCGGACTTCAAATCCTTCAGAGGCCAATACCATTCTTAAGGAAGCTGCCGAGATATTTGATGCTATAGGCAAGGCAGATTCCGCAGCTAGATGTTTTTCTGATTTGGGAGAGTATGAAAGAGCAGGTATGATTCTTTAACAACTGTTAGTTTAGCTTTCCAGCATTTATATTATAGTGAAATTGCGATAGCACTCTGATACAATTTGGTTTATTATTTGTTGGACATGAATCTTCGTATTTATTGCTCCGACTCAAATCTAGTTGATAAAGTTAATTTCTCATAGTAAAGCTTTTACTGATGCAGCTAGGATTTATTTGGATAAATGTGGTGATTTGGAAAGAGCTGGGGAATGTTTTTCTCTAGCAGGATGCTATCAAGATGCTGCGGATGTGTATGCTAAGGGCAATTTTTTCTCCGAGTGTCTATCTGTTTGTGCCAAAGGAAAGCTATTTGAAATGGGTCTGAAATACATAAAATATTGGAAGCAGCATCCAATAAAAGACTCTGCTGTGGCTCGAAGGGGAGAAGGAATGGATGAAATTGAGCAGGCATTTCTTGAGAGCTGTGCACTTCACTATAACAAGTTGAAAGATAACAGATCCATGATGAATTTTGTTAGAGCTTTTCATTCTATAATTTCAATGCGAAACTTTTTGAAGGAACACGCTGGTCTTGATGAGCTTCTTTTGTTGGAAGAAGGATTTGGAAACTATCTTGAGGCAGCAGAAATCGCAAAACTAAAAGGTGATATTATACTTGAAGCTGATTTCCTTGAAAAGGCTGGCAAGTTCAGAGAGGCATCATTGCATATTCTATTCTATGTGCTTGCCAACTCTCTTTGGTCATATGGCAGCAAGGGATGGCCCGTAAAGCAGTTTTCACAAAAGGAGGAGCTTTTATCAAAAGCCAAGTCATGTGCTAAGAACGAGACAGAAAGCTTTTATGAGTTTGTTTGCACTGAGGTTGAAGTTTTGTTAAATGAGCAGAGTAACTTGTTTGTGTTGAAAAATCACATGAATGCTTGCCAGAGACACAGTAGTGTTGGAGGTGAAATTTTATCTTCTCAAAAAATACTGGATGCACATCTTTCTTCAAGCGCTGATAAGTATGTGTGGGAGGAAATGTTGGTTGATGATCTGATAAAGTGTTCAGCAAACGGAATATCTGAAAATCAAGTTTCCATGGACTCGTTGATTTACTTCTGGAATTTTTGGAAGGATAAAATTGCTCACATATTTGAATATCTCAGATGCCTCGAAACCCAGGAAGTTAGTGAATACAAAAGTTATGGAGAGTTTTGTTTGAATTACTTAGGAGTTTGGAGAATGTATCATAATCTGAGTCCAGTCTATGTTTTGCTGATTCCTGATGCTGATTGGGTTTGTGGTTTGAACAAAGATATTTTAGAAATCAAGGGAAATTGGTCTCCATTGATGCTCACCAGCTTGCTTCAGCCGCCAGGAATTATTGGAGTTCAGAATTGCTCTCTGTTGGCATGAAGGTTTTGGACAAGCTCGAAAAGCTCTACAAGTTTCCCATCAAGAATGCTGACTCAGTGTTCTGTCGAAGCAGGTGTCTTACCTATATCTGTGAGGTCTCAGTATATCTTTTGCAATCAAAATGTTTGACCTTAAGGTATCATGATGCTGAGAGATTGCACAAATGTGTAACATTTTCGATCGAAAGTATTGTTCCTCTCGTATTTCCTTTGGATTGGAGGAATTCATTGAGGGAGAATTTGATTTCTCTACGACAAACTGATGCTTCAAAGAATGTGCTGAAACAAGTAATACAGGAGTTTACCAGATCGAAGAATGAGCTATCTTGGGGGCAAATTGGTAAGCTTGTAATGGTCATTCTCGGGACTGGTAAGCTTACTAATGAGCTGTATGAGAAGCTTGTGAGAAAACTCGACTGCAACCCGCCATGGCAGGTGTTCATCGAAAATCTCTGTGGGAATATTGAACGTGGAAACACCAGTCAAGAACCAAAAGAGGTGTCTGTAATGTTGAGGTTCCATGAAGCTTTAGCTGGAACTTATAATGTGAACTGGAGGGCTGTGAAGGATTACATAACACCAGGTTGCTTTCTATACCTTCTAGAGCGCCTTCTGATATGGGCAACTTGCTTTCAGGGTTATGCTATCACTACAAGTTCTTGTTTTATTGAGTGGCTTATATACCAAGGGGAAGATACCAGCTTAAGTTTGAGGGGGGCTGATGTTCGACCATCTTTGGATGGCGTTCTTCGTTTTGTGATTGATGTGGTTCGGGATTGCATTTTCAATAAGGTGGATATGGTTGAATGGATTAAAAAGTCCATCAAAGATTGGATGAACTACTATTCACTACTTATGGTGAGATTGGTCGTTGTGTTATGCTTGGTTTATGTGAATTTTGGTATTGGTCTAGATTTACTCCATGATTTGCTGGGGAGGAACTATATCACTGAACAGCTGCCGTCAGAGTTTTATAACGCCCTCAAAAGCAGGAGCGGCAAATCTGTTAGGTTAGATGTGAATGTGCTCGCAGCAGCTCTTAAGAAGGTCGGTAATACTTTGGTAATAGCAAGTTTTGGGACCAATTGTTCAAGGTGGTTGTGTTCAGATGCTGTCTTTGTTGACATGATGGCCAACCAGTCTAGGGATGACATATTTAGAAAATTGTTTCCTAAACCACCCGTCCTAAAAGCTTCGGAAGCTGGATCTTCCAGTCGTGTGCTTTGTGCAACCAATTCTGAGGAGGGGAAGACTGGTGCCGCATTAGATAAGCCATGCGATGCCGGGGAAAGTCACACTATAGGTGAGGGAAATTGCGAATCCAACAAGTCTCCAAAGTCTCAGCAAACTGATGTTGCTTCTGTACCGAGTGAGACCAGGGACAGTCACAATATTGGCGAGGAGAATCGCATACGCAATGAGTCAGATCTGTTGGCTGATGCTGCGTCTGGTTCCCAATGTACCGGAAACAAGGGGAAGACAAAGAACAAGAACAAGAACAAGAGAGGCAAGAACAAGAAGGGCAGAAAGTAGCCCTCTAGACACTCTATATATGCTATGTGAATTTTGTTTTTCTGTGCAAGAACTTGATGGTTCCTTTGATGAGTATTGTTTTTAACTGGTTGGTTGTGAAGACGAAGACCCTAACCATAAGGGCAATCCGTCACTTGCAAATATTCTCCATTTGATGTAATAAAACTTCTTCAAATTCATGTACTTTTTTACTTTATAGTTGGAGCAGTTTCTCTTTTAATTGTTTCCATTTTAATTCTGCGTGACAATTTCGCATATAGTTTGGAAATGAAAAATTAACAAGTGACCGCACGTTAGGGATGATTTTGAACAACGTTTGAGCTTGTGTGTGGGGAACTAATGACCAATTACAACATTGTTTTTGACAGAACAATATGTTACACTAAAGGGGTGAGGGAATAATTTGATTTCAAACTTGCCATTTGCGAGATTTGAACCGAAAACCTACTACAAGACTGGTACTAAGTGGTAATTACGACATTGTAAAGGTTGTTAAGTTTAGCAGGCATCCAACTAACCCAAAGTAGGCAGCCAAATAAGAGAACTTAGAGCAGAACAAGTGAATTTTGACACCATTGTGCATGCTTTTTGTTAATTTCAAAATTTTGTATTCTTTACACTCTGAAGCAATAACCACCTAACAAGTAACATATCAAACTGTGCTGACTTAAGGCAGCTGAGTTGGCCAACTTCTCAAGATTATATAATTAATCAATCACCTAATATGTCCAGACTTTGGGATTTAGACATCATCAAAATTCATGATCAATTTGTTATAAATTCTTGTCTCACTAACTGCCACTTATTTCCCATGTGAGAGAGATTCAAAGATGGAAGTGACAATGTGGATGGCTTTAGCTACCACCATTTTCACAACCATGGTAGCAGTCGCTTCATCGGCAGTGTCTACCGTGACCTTTGTCTTCGGTGACTCCTTGACAGAAGTAGGGAACAACAACTATCTGTCGTATTCTCTTGCAAAGTAAAAATTATCCTTGGTATGGTGTCGATTATGCCGGAACTCAAGCTACTGGGAGGTTCACTAATGGAAGAACCATTGGCGACATTATATGTAGTGTTCTTACTTCTTATACTACTTATCCGACGTCGATATTTTTCTTTTCCTTTGTATCTCCAGGAACTTACTGAATTTTTTTTGTGATCTTTTGTAGCCCAAAAGCTTGGGATTACATCACCACCACCTTATCTATCCTTGGCACAGAATGATGATGCACTGCTTAAAGGGGTTAATTATGTATCTGGTGGTGCAGGAATACTGAATGACACTGGACTCTATTTTGTAATCACATTTCTTCCAAAAATATTAATCCCTCTTATGTTTATGATCACATCGTTGAACCTACAACATCGGAGGCAGGAATAAATGCTCTATAATATTAAATTATTTTGTTATTTTTCTTCATGACAGATTCAGAGAATGTTGTTTGATGATCAAATACAAAATTTCAACAAGACAAAGGAAGCCATCAAGGCTAAGATTGGGACAAAGGAAGTAGTCAATTTATTGATTGAATCCCTTTGCATATTTTCATGCAGCAATGATTATGTCAACAATTACCTGCAACCCTTTTCAGCTGATTGTCAGCAGTACACTTATGATGAATTTGTGGAATTATTGATTGGTACATTAGAGAGACAATTTAAGGTTAGTAAACACTATTAGTTTTTTTTTTTTTTTTTTTTTTTTTTTGAACAAATCGATATTATCTACACTAAGGTGAGGGGGTGTCGCCTTTGGCGAGAGTTGAACCTAAGACCTCTCACTAATCAGTGAGGAGGAATACCACTAGACCGTAGTACTAGTGGCAGTAAACACTATTAGTTAGATTAGGGAAAACGGATATTTTGGATTCGTCTTAAAACCTCTCACACTTTTTCTAGTATTGAGAAGAGAAGTACCATTAAAAGAGAATGCTTTGAATAATTTTATTCTTCTCAATGAGAGGTATTTATACAATGTGTACAACCCTAATGTAATAGGAAGAAAACTAATTACACGAAATTATAGGAGATTACATGGAATTGATATCAATTAGGAATCCTACCTAAAATACAAAGTCAACACTCCCCCTCAAGTTGGTGCATATATGTTACTCATGCCCAACTTGTGTAAGAAACATGAAAACTTATGACTTGAAACAGCTTTCGTGAGGATATCTGCCAACTGATCCTCTGTTCTTATTGTCGGTAGCTCAATTATTTTTTCTTCTAATTTTTCTTTGATGAAGAATCGATCAACTTCAACATGCTTTGTTCTATCATGTTGTACCGGATTATGTGCAATGTCACGGGCAGCTTTATTATCACAAAATAATTTCATAGGTTGATCATGTGGTATACCCAAATCGTGAAGCAGGAGCCTAAGCCACAGAATTTCACAAATCCCCAAAGCCATACCTCTATATTCAACTTCTGCACTAGAACGGGCAACCACATTCTATTTCTTACTTCTCCATGTAACCAAGTTACCCCCAACGAATGTAAAGTAACCTGATGTTGTGTGCCTATCGTCAATCGAACCCGCCCAATCTGCATTAGTATAACCTTCAACTCTAAGATGATTATTCCCTTTAAACAAAATTCCTTTGCCGGGACTTCCTTTCAAACATCTCAAAGTTCTCATCACTGCATTCATATGTTGTTCTCCGGGATCATGCATGTATTGACTTACTACACTTAAGGCATAAGCAAGGTCCGGTCTTGTGTGTGCCAAGTACATTAAACGACTTACTAACCTTTGGTATCTCCCTTTGTCAACTGGTACTTGATTAGGATCAACACTAAGCTTCAATCCTTCCTTTAATGGTGTAGCTACTGGTTGACAAGCTAACATGTCGGTTTCGTGCAACAAATCAATAATATACTTCCTCTGTGATAAGAAAATTCCCAAACTGCTTCTCGATACCTCAATCCCTAAAAAATATTTCAATGATCCAAGGTCCTTCATCTTAAATTCTGTAGACAAATATCTTTGCAAGGCTGCACGTTCTTTTGGGTCATTACCTGTTACCACCATATCATCTACATACACAATAAGTGCAGTAAGTTTCTCATTTAGTCTTTTCAGGAACAGAGTATGATCGGAGTTACTTTGTTTGTATCCAAATGCTCTCATAGATTTTGTGAATCTTCCAAACCATGCCCGAGAGAACTGCTTCAAACCATATAAGGATTTCTTCAACCTGCACACTTTTCTTTTGTATTTATCTAGAGCATTACATCCTGGTGGAAGATCCATATAAATCTCTTATGTCAAGTCTCCATGCAAGAAGGCGTTCTTCACATCAAACTGTTGTAAGGGCCAATTAAGATTTGCGACCAAGGACAACAAAACACGAACTGTGTTGATCTTGGCTACAGGTGCAAATGTATATGTGTAGTTGATTCCATATTTTTTAGTGTATCTTTTTGCTACCAGTCTTGCCTTGAAACGATCCATCGTCCCATCTGCTTTGTATTTCATAGTATAAACTCATTTGCATCCCACAGGTTTCTTGCCAGCTGACAAATCTATGATCTTTTAGGTAGCATTCTTCTTCAAAGACTTCAACTCTTCATTCATTGCTGCTTGCCAACGTGGATCAGCTAAAGCCTCATGCACACTGTTAGGAACAGATACAGTAGATAATTGATGCACAAACGACTTATTTGATTCTGACAGGTGACTGGTAGACACATAATTACTTAACCGGTATAACACATTAGACTCAGGGTTGGGCTTACTCACTGGATACCTAGTTTTGCATTTAGGGTCGACTTCATAAGTAAGTTTAGGAATACCTCGGTTGACGTGATCAGGGAGACGACGTGGTGGTGGTGCATCCGGGATCGAAGACGATTAATTATGGTTATTAGGACTCAAGATCGACTGTGAGGTAGCTGGCGACATAGGGCTGTCCTTTGGTGAAGAAATTGGCAGTGAGTTATCTGGCAATGTCGACTCGTCCATTTCAAGGTTTTCAACATTGTTTCCATGTAATGATCACCACTTGTTTCCAAGACATTACCACTTAATTCTAATTCATTCACATCATTGTTTTCATGTGAATGATCACCACTTATTTCCAAGACATCACCACTTAAATCCAAATCATTCACTCTATCTATATTTGGAATAGTATAATCAAGGGTTTGAACTTCTTTCTGACTCTCCCCCTGAAGTGAAGGCTCGGGATTGGCAAAGTACATATTATTCTCATGAAACGCAACATCCATAGTGACAAACAACTTATTCGTCGGAGGATGATAACAACGGTATCCTTTTTGCCTTGATGCATACCCCACAAACACACATCGTAAGGCCCGAGGTTCAAGCTTATTTCGTTGTTGTTTGTGAAGATGAACGAAGGCCACACAACCAAACACATGAGGTGGAAGACTAGTGACTGCAGGAGCATCAACATGGGAAGAAAGTGCCTGAAGAGGTGTCTGAAAATCAACCGATCGGGATGGAACACGATTAATGAGATACGCAGCTGAGGTGAGAGCTTCTCCCAATAGGATAACGGGAGACGCGCCTTGAGTAAAGAAACACGAACAACCTCCAGAAGCTGGCGGTTCTTGCGTTCGGCAACTCCATTTTATTGTGGAGTATATGGACATGTAGTTTGATGAACAATTCCATGATGATCAAGAAAGGCACGAAGTTCAGAGTTAACATATTCACCACCATTATCACTCCTGAGAACCTGTATTTGTGACTTATATTGTACTTGTACCATTTTGTAAAACTGCTGAAATAAAGAAGTAACTTCACTTTTGGATTTCATCAAACAAACCCAAGTCATACGTGTGCAGTCATCAATAAAAGTAACGAACCAATGAGCACCACCAAATGTAGCAGTTTTAGATGGACCCCAAACATCAGAATGAATTATCATAAATGGAACATAACTTTTATTCAAACTGGATGGAAACGAAGCACGATGACTTTTAGCTAGTTCACAAACACCACATTTAAAGCCAGAAACATCATGCTTAACAAATAGGCTAGGAAACAACCTCCGTAAATAGCCGAAAGAAGCATGTCCAAGTCAACGATGCCACAATCTCTGAAGCTTTATTCTTATCCCTGTGATTTCCTTCCACTGCAAGAGCTTGAGTCAGCATGCGGGAACTGTTCGATGTCAGCTCCAAGTAGTAGAGCTTCCCCTTCCTAATACCATAACCAATCGTCTTGCGAGTCCGAATGTCTTAAAAACACAAAAAATCACAAGAAAATGTAGGGCGACATTTATTTGAGCAACATATAATAAATTATAGTCAAGAGAATGAATAACGAGTACAGAATCAAGATTCAGGGTTTCAAAAAGTGAGACATCGCCTTCTCCGATAATGGGGGCAACATTACCATTGGCAACATTCACGACATTTTTGGGTGATGGTTTTAGGGTTTGTACCTGTCTAGAATCACAAGTCATATGTTCAGTAGCACCTGAATCAATTGTCCATGTATTATTTATAACAGATGTAGAAACCTTTAAAGCCTTACCTTTGTTACCTGTATTAGAATCTATTTTCGATTTGACAATCGAGGTACACGACTTGTTACAGTGGGGATCACAAGTCTTGAATTGGTCTCGATTAGTCCAACTCTCATGTCCGATTAGTTCAGATCCATTTGAAAAAGAACGAGCACGGGCAGCCATTGTGAATTGGGTGCAACGTGTGTACAGGAACCAAATTTAGCAGCAACTATGAGGCCCAAAAAACAAATACTGGCCAAAAATAAATAAATAAATAAAGTAACCCTTCTTCCTTTTTTCCTTTCCTTAACAACAACTTTTTTTCCTTTTCTTTTTCTTTTCTCAGTCAAACATGATTTCCCCTTTTGATTCCTTTTTATTTTTTTTAACCTGGGCTCTGATACCAAACTGTCACATCCCGACCTAGGCCCCCATCACATCCCGTGTTCAACTCTGCCGCAGCACGATATTGTCCACTTTGGGCCCCGACCACGCCCTCACGGTTTTGTTTCTGGGAACTCACACGAGAACTTCCCAGTGGGTCACCTATCATGGGATTGCTCTCGCACGAACTCGCTTAACTTCGGAGTTCCGATGGAACACGAAGCCAATGAACTCCCAAAAGGCCTCATATATATATTATATATATATATATATATATATTATATAATGAAGGTTTAAATGTTTAAAGGTTGTTTTTAAATGTTAAATATTATTAATTAATGTCATTAAATATAATAATAGTGGGTGGGATGTAACCAGACTTGGAAGTTGGAATTTGGAATTAGGAAAAGAATAGGTTGAATTTGATGCATTGTTGACAAATAAGAAGCATGACTGTAAATGAATGAAGTATGATAATTGGAGGAGGGTTGAAAAGAAAAGGTCAGGATAGGCCATACAATAACATTTGGGATCTGGCACGGACCACTATTGCTGAGGCCTCCGTGATGCTTTTAAGCCTTGCAAAGCAGCGCAAGTTGAGGAAGATCATGGTGGGGAAAGACAATAAAATGTCATCGATCGAGTGTTACAATCCACCCCCTCTTAGGGGCCCGATGTCTTCGTCGGCACACTTCTGGCCAGGGATTGGCTCTGATACCAAAAGAGAATGATTTGAATAATTTTATTCTTCTCAATGAGGGTATTTATACAAGGTGTACAACCCTAATGTAATAGGAAGAAAACTAATTACACGAAATTATAGGAGATCACACGAAATTGATATCAATTAGGAATCTACCTAAAATACAAAGTCAACACCATTATCTAATGGGAACTGAAGCTTGAACTAATCTTTCTCCAAACAAACTTCTTGATACAAACTGGTTTTCGTAGACTTGTGAAAAATACAGATTTTCAAGCCGAACATAACAATCTTCAAGTATGGCTTGTTTCTCATCGAGCCAAACGTAGGTTTCACTTGTTTCTTTCACGAGCTTCAACAAGGCAAACACAAGCCGAAATCGGTGAAAGCCACTTTACATCCCTTACCCTAGGTTAATTAACAATGCATGTTCAAACTGTGTGTGCTAAAGGCTCTACCAACTGGGTGCTCGAAAGATGATGTTCTATGGTCTCGGACCACTTGGCTGCATTCCTTCTCATAGGGTGAAATCAAAGAGAGGCCAGTGCTTAAAAAGAGTGAATGAGTGAGTGCTAGAATTCAACTCCAAAGTACAAAAGCTCATTGCCTCTCTTAACATAACTCTCACAGGTAAGCTCTCATTTGCAGGCACGTACAGATACGTCTACGACTTAATCCAAAACCCTACAACTTACGGTAATCAAGCTCGATTATTTAACTGTATATTCAAATTCGATTAATATAGGTTTTATTTACAATGTACCAATTTTTCAGGGTTTAAGGTTTTGAACACTTCGTGTTGCAATGTGGACAGAAACATTTGAGGGCTATGCTTGCCAAATTCAAAGATATGCCCCAGCCGGAAAGACGGCGTATTATGAGATGCATTCCACCCTTCCGACGCAGCAAATGCGGTTCTCGCAGACAAACTCTTCTCAAGGGTATTTTCTGCGACTCCTTCTAGTGCACCAACACCTTCACCCTAGTTGGCATTTCTACAATGATAATTGAAGGATACATGGTAGAAACCCATTAAGGCAATAATGCAAGCAACTAAAAGGCGCTAGGATATAAAGTATGCAATATGGATTTAGGTAAACAGCAAAATAGTACCTAAATCCAAACTACAACAAAAGCTCTCTTCTCTCTCTCCCTAAAAGCTCTTTCTCCCTCAACCAAACCCTAGCCGTCAACAAACCCCCCTTGTCGCTGGCCTCTGGCTACGGTTGGGGGCTGGTGGCACCCTCTCCCTTTCTTTCTCTAGCTCTTTCTCCCTTCCTTTTTCCCCATTTTCCCCACCTCTTGCCAATTTCGATTTTTTCCCTTTCTTCTCACGTCACCCCTCCCTTGTGTCGCTCTCTTCCCCCGCGTTTCATTCTCTCTCCCTCCCCGTGTCCCCCCTGCCCCGCGCCTCTGTTTTTTCCATTTCTTTTCTTTCATTCACTATGCCAACCTCTCCCGCGTACCCCGACATTCTTTTTAGCTCTCTTGCCGTTACATTCCATTGATTTCTACTCTCCCTTATGCTTTTGCATATGGTTGTGTACCGTTGATTTCGTGAGTGTCTCTGTGCCAATTCATTGATCCCGGAAATATAACTTAGGTCTCTGCCACTCCTTCCAATGTCTTATCTTCTCTTCTCTTGCACTCTAGGTCTGGATATTTTCGTGTGTGTAGTACGATGATGTGAGGTTTATTGAGTATTTGACAGGTCGTGTATTGGTGGCCAAAATAAGGTAGGCCTCCGCGAAACCTCCGTTTTCTGCTGCCACGAGTGGTGTTGATAGATATTTCCCTGTCACCTCTTGAAATCTTGGACACACCAGGCTCTCCTACGCCTGACCCTCTGTTTTGCTTCCGTCTGGGTCGCTGCTTTTGCTGGAGGTTGCATCACCTGGCTTTTTCCAAATGTGAGACACATATGTCGAGTGTGTGTCGCGCAAGCTCTCCGTGGGTGCGGAGGCATTGTTTGTTGGGGTAAAAGTCTTCCAAATCTGTGCAGTGCGGTCTTTTATCAGGAAGTGGACGGACGTATCTGTTCGCATCGGACATGGGCTCGCCCCTCGCCATTGTAGTGGCTCCTGCCTTTCGGTGAATATTTTCTGTATCTTTACAGCTTACCTCTGTCAAGGCGTGTAGCGTACAACGTACTCCCTCTCTCTCGCGGACTAGGATATAGCAATGTCTCTGAATTGCTCTCAATTCACGCTCTTATAGAACGGTTTGGCATACCAGTCATGGCACCCTTTCTCTCTGAGGTGTTGTGTCAGCTAGTGTTTCTGTGGTGTGGTATACGCGCGAACAATTGCAGTCTTTTGTCGCGCCTGTGTGCGCGATACTGCGGTGCACCGTTTTGAGGATACTACGTCGGTTAGTCTATACAAAACAATGACTTTGATTGTGCTCTCACTTTTGTACGGCGTGACTGAACTCTCTTAGGTGATGGCTCTCTTCAGCCGCATTTCATTGCGGCAGTGTGGTCTCGTGGATGTGAGCGTGTTTGACATTTTTCGCTCTCATTGCTTTGTCTTCTTGCGTATGCGCCTCTATTATGGGTTTCTAAGAGACCAGAGTGCGGTTCTCCTCAGAGGCCTATGATAATTACCTCGTGTGACGCCCTTCTCTCATTGTATGCAGATTGGGGTGGTTTTTTTGATAGTTAGCTTCTTGTGTGATATTTGTTGTTATAAGGGGGTTCTTCCTCTTTAATTTGACTGTGCTGTATTTGGTGTAATTCATCGTTTCTGATAGATCATAATTATTTTGGATATAGGTCAATTGTATAGACTAAGATGTCCCCACATGATACTACTCTTAATTGAGATCTCTATGGTTAGTAGTTAATAGAAATTTACATTTTGCTGTTTTCCATTTTATGTATAATGAAATAAAATTAGTCGAGATAATAGTACATAAAGATAGATAATCTCGAGAGAGTGAACTTACTCTACTCTGCGTCATTCTACTCGCATACTCTCTCGATCTTGATAAAGATGTATCAAAATTACATTAATAACAAAATTTTACCTCTCCTTCAAATGGTTCAAGGATATTCACTGACAAGACAACTGACTAAAGATGCTCTTAACTACTCTACACTTGTCGCGGCTCTTTACTCAATGCTAGACAAAAGAACAACTGCCTAACTTAAAACTCGCCAATTCACTCATCTGCATCGCCAACATCCAAAAGGGACTCAAATCAGAACTTTCCAACTGCACAAAATCACTATATTAGCATGTGTCGCTGTCAAGTCATTCCAATAGAAATAGTTTTATTTAGTATACTGGCCTATAATACCGCCCGCGCGTCTGGAACCTTGTGTCTGTCTCTCAAGCGCGCTAACCTGCCATATAGTTACTCATGGAGTAATAGCTTCGGTTAACTCAGTACCATGCACTATCTTTATTTATAGCTAGCCAATTAGACTCCATAACCATTACACAACATGCACATGTAATTCACATTTCGCTGGAACACATAGTGAATGAGGTTCATTCCGATAATAGATCAAAGCCTGTTCTATGGCTCTGTTTTAAACATTTTCAACCCACTGCCACTATTATTATATTATCATCTGAAACCAATATGTATAAAAATACATTGAATTACATATATAGATGTGACATGTAATTAACTCTAAAACATTCTACTCGTTATTTCAAAAAGACCATTAAGATCGCTTCGACTTCTACCAAAAAATGATTTTGTTATCACATTATAAGACAGTAAGTACATAACATGCGTTCACATCATATATTTTCCCTTGTAAGTTATAATGGCAACATAATTAATGCCTCTGTAGGGCATACATCTATTTTTAGCAGTTTAATAAAAACTATAAAAGTGCTACTATAACACAATAAGCTAATCCTTATATTGAACTAATTAAGAATTTCATAACAAATTAACACCCAAAGAAAATTATAAATATAAATAAACACAGTAATAATGCATTCTGTCTTGATGTTTCTTCAGTTTATAAACGAGAGTGCTCATACAAAAAAAAAAAAAACAATTTAAGCCAAAGTGTGCAGAACAAGACAGACAAGAGACGCAATACCGGACTAGTCCGCAAAGTGCACTATCAACTTCCTCCCAAGACTATGAGCCATGAAGATGTCATATCCCTCCTTCATTTTATCTCGCAAAATTCAGG